GGGCGGGGAGTGGTGGGACAGAGGGCAGCCCAAATGCCCTTTCCTCTGGCCTGCAAATGGTGGGAGGCCTATCATTTTAATAGTGTGTATGCTTGTATTTGCATTCCAAAACCTTAAGCTGTTATGCTGACATTACAACAACAAGCATATTTCTGTAACAAAACCAGTAAACAACTAATTTTATTTCTAATGACATATAAAATAAGTATAGGTAGGTTTTAAGAGACCCTTCCAAATGCAGAATGATGGAGACAGAGAATTCAGTAAAGACTTTGATGATTCAGGTATGATTATATTTGCAGTGTTTTGGGGGAATATCTAGTCTGAATTTGTTTAGCTCTAGAAGTGTGACTATTCACATTATGTCTCTCTGTGAGTCATAGACAATGGTATACTAGTAAATGCTTAATAACTGTCTCTTTGGAATTAAATAAAGGCCATGATTCGATGCAATTTCCAATTTCTGTGGCATAAGTACTTCCACCAAGGCTGATTTTAAGCTACGAATGTGAAGCCAGCATGAAATGAACTGAGCACATCACTGTTTGAGGAAGTGAATAATGCTATCAAGGTTCTAAATGTGAAGTATCAGGTACAAAGATTAAGTAATCTGCTGACGCTAGTACAAATGTAAGAGACAGTGCTGCAGAATGACCCCTGGACACTTGATTTCACATGATTCCAAATGATCTACTGTCAGCAGATTACACTTAGTTAATAATTACTGAGCGATACTTTTCCAGGTCTACAGACATTAATGTCAGCTTCTACCACAGCTACTGCCTTGATCTTTACTGAGGAAAGGGTGAACTTAGGAGCTTAGTTCTTTTATTTGTACCAAGAATCAAACTCAGGACCTTGTTCTTGCCAAGCAGGCGCAATGCCCCTGAGCCCTGGCTGTGCTTAGTGCTTAAGTGTATGTTCTCTGGACTCAGAGAAAGCTAGGCTCAAATCCTGGCTTTACCAAGTGTCAGTTTACTCCTCTTTAATAGGAAATAATCACATTTTCTCCTTTTCACAGAAAAGTCGGGTTTAGTTGAAATGATTTTTTCAAAGCATGTTGCATGCACTCTGCATGTTTCTAATAAGAGTTAGTGATTATAATTATTAGAGTCTTTTTTGGTAGTAGTAAAAAGTAAACTATGTTTAATGTCCCCGTGGGGTAGATTTGGTATATATATCATGAAATAGAAATCCACATAAGTGGTAGAGCAATTGGTAAATATGTTCCTGGGCAGCAACAGTATGCAATACTCCATTCCTAAGTCAAGCAGTTATATTATCTGAGGATACAGAGAAGTGGGAGTGTCCATTATAATGTAGTATGTGCATCTCCTAGGATAAGGCAGGAATGCTGCCTCTTTGTGCTATGGTGTACAGGCATTGCACATCTTTTTTTTTGTGGTGCCTAATTGGATGGGAAATACTCTAGGGGCTAATTTTCTCCTCAATCACTACCTCATTTGCTGTAAAAACAAGTATGCTAGGGCCAGGCCAGGGACTTTGCTCAGTGGCACAGTGCCTACCTCGAAAATGCAATGTCCTGAGTTTGATCCCCGGTACCAAAAACAAAAACAAAAACAAAACAAGTATGCTGTTATTATTTGGTTCAAATCATTTGTGAATTGCAAATTTCTAGAGCTGAAACATTAAATACATGAAATTCCAACAATAAGAGACTTGGCCTGAAGCTATAACTCTTCCTGGGAGAACTCAGAGACGGCAGCTTGGTTATAAGAATCTGGGCCTCCAACTCTTCCTTTACGGATTGAAAGATGGGCTTTTCAGGAGTCAAATGTTTGGAGCTGTTTCTTGTATACATGGTTATCTAGTTCAGAGAGGAGCTTTCTCAACATACTAGCATTCTGTTTAAGTTCAATAAGACCCACTTAGCACTTTGGTATATCCCACCACAGCAATTATACTTGCAGTGGTCATTGGCTCACCCAGTCTGATTCATTTAGTGCATTCAAGGATTTACAATGCTGATGTGATTCTTATATGCAAGAGAAAACTAGTTGTACAATTGCTTTTGTAAACAGTATGTTCCTTCTTATATCTTACTTTATGCTATCGTATCAACCAAATTACTTTTTCCAAACAAAATTTGAGAAAGGAAACCTTTACTGATTTTTGGTTTTCTCACTTTTTTCATAAGTAGTCTATTTTAAAGTCTGATTGTAAAAAACTATAATAGATCATATACAACATGGCGAATGCTCTTTAAACAAGCTTGAAGATGTTGGCATTTCTTTCAGACTCTAGAGGAAAATGTACTTTGTTTCACCTAATGTAAGAGGAGAACAATAGGCTATGGGAGACAAGTTTACAAGTGCTTAAGGAATGAAATCCTGAAACAAAAACATTTATTATCTTGATGAGACAGTAATCTGACAATGATTAATAACAAGTCCTAGTGTCTCAAATGCTTTTTATATTTTAAAGAAATGCATATGTGCCTGCCTTCTTTGGAGTTATAACAGAAATGAAGGTTTTCAAAGGGACAGTTACTGATAACATATGGTGCAAAAATTGAGAGAAATCCTTACTTTAACCAAGTTCAACATAGTAGTTTTTCTTTTCTTTTCTATCCTTTTCTTTTCTCATCTTATCTTTTCTTTTCTTTTTTTGGGTAAACACATTGAGAAACCCAAGAGTGAGGTAACATGATCTCCTGGGAAAAGCATTACTAGAGAAGTCCACAATCTAATGCCCCAGTGCCAGCCCACCATTGCCTGATCTGGTGGCTAAGGTGGCCATTTAATAATAGTGATTTAATCATAATGGGCCTCAATTTCTGGCCTGCAGACCATTCCATAATTTTTTGATAAGCCAAATCCTGTACAGTATTATGAAATAGTTGCCATTTACTGAGGGCTACTGCAACCTGATGCTACTAGGCTTCCTGTCTTTTTGTTCTTTAGCTACCATCAAACTGGGGCAGTAGCTGTGTCTTACTTCATATTTTATCCTCAACAACTACCTTTAGGTTTGTGGTAGAGGAGATGCCCAACACAATGCCTCCTAGGGAGTAAGTATGCAGACATATTGTTATTTCACTAGGCCTTCACACAGACGCTTAAGAGAAAGCCTCATATTGTGAATGAGAAAGTGGAAATTTAGAGGAGTTTAGAGAAATTAAGTGGATCTCCCAAGTTCACAAAGAGGGTATTCCTGGGTAGGGTTTGGAATTGTGCTTGATGTCTACAAGGCCTGTCTTTGCATTTCCTGCTTCTTGCACAGCAAACTAGGGAGACCAAGCAAATAATTAGAGTGTCAGTAAATCAAGGCAAAAACTAGAGAGAGCAAGAAAAGAAGAAAGAATAAAATCAGAATTTGAATTATAGAGGGGGGAAAACACTGTAATATTTCTAGTGCTCAAGGCTTGTCAAGGACAGTGGAATTCATGAATGCTGACACATGATAACTCCCTAATGCTGATGCAGCAGTTTCTTCAAGAGTTGTACTGCTTATGAGATATATTTATCTCTAGGTCTCAGTGTCTCCAAGAGCACCTGGTTTACTTTTGGGTGCACTGTTTATGAGCCATGCAGTGTGTTTTCTCCATGACACAGGAGTAGCACCCTGCCTCCTTTAAGCCTATAGATAAAAATAGAAAGAAGTGCATTTGGCCAGACTGACTGGCTGCTGATGGTGACAACAGGGTAGATCAATGTTATATCTCATTTTTAGGAAACTTGCAAAGTACTACTTCATTTTTCATCTCACAGGAAGTATAATAGCTTGGATTTGGACCATTCATTGTTAGTAGCTTCAATAGAAAATGCTCTTTAGTGTAGCTCTAAGAAATCTGCGATACAAGCCACAAATGTCAGCCACATACATAATTTAAATTTGTCTTGTAACCATATTAAAAAGTAATGAATTAAATTAATTTTAATACAATTTTAAAAGAATATTTTAGTGCATTTAAGTAGGAAACAGTGAGGACCCCAAACAGATAACTCTTTAACATGAAGATAGTGGCACAAAGTGGCTTTTAATGACGCCGTCAGCTCAGTGAGTGATTCCTGTCAGTCTTGAGGGCCCCAAATAGAAGTTTTCACTTCCTTATATGTCTCTTTTTACATCTACAGAGCTTAATTCCATTGGAGTTTCCCTGGGAATATAGCAAGCAGGATTTACACAAAGCAGAGCAGTGGAGAAGGGGAGAGCAAAGAATTCTGGCAGGACTTTCTGAATCCCTTACACTCCTTTGGTGACAGATTACAGAAGTTGTCATGGCTACTCAGGTAGATTCTACAAAGAAGAGCATAGTTACCTGGTTAACACATAGTGGCCTAATAACACAGTTAACTCATAGTTGCCCAATTCCATATGGAGGGTGATCTACTCTCTCAGCATAATCAAGTAAATACTTAGCACTCTTTTTTAATACTGTGTCTTTTTATACTCACAGCATATCTCAATTGGGACTAGCCCTATTTCAAATGCTCAATAACCATATGTTGCTAGTAGCTACTGCACTGGACTGTGCAGCTCTGGAAGACTGATTGTGGAAGCTCATGTGGCCTGCTCCTTGGCTAGTGTAGAACGCACTTGCTGAAAGGAGACCTTTAAACAGTTACAGTGTAAAGTCTAATAGTTTCTTAAAGTCCTGAAAGAAATCGTTTTTTCTACTGAATCAAGAAGTGGAGTATTTCATATTTCTAAACACCCATTTTACACGTAATTACTAAACACTCGACACAACCAAACTACAAACCTTTAGTTTATGGCATAGAACTCTGAAGTCTAGTGCCAGATCTACTTAAGGCACTTTAAGCAAAACATTTCTCACCCTCACCCTTAGCTTCTTTTTCTCCAAAACAGAAGGTTTGGAATGTATCAATACTTTTCAGCATTGCCTGCACATTAGAACTACATGGGAAACTTAAAAAAATGTCCTGGCTTTCCATAGGGAAATCAGAATCTCTGTGGTGGAGCTGAGTACCAATCTTCAAAAATTTTTTTATAAAGCCAGATATGGGGTCACATACCTGTAATCCCACTACTCTGGGAAGCTGAAGCAGGAGAATCACAAGTTCCAGTCCAGCATGGGCAATTCAGTGACATAATGAGACCCAGTCTCCAAACAAACAAACAAACAAACAAAAACAAATAAGAGTTGGGGATGAACTCAGTGAGAAGGTCCTGACTTCAATCCTCAGTACCCTTAAAACATTTCCTGTGTGATTACACAGTGTAGTGAGGTTTGGGAATCACTTATCAAAGGCAAATCAAATATGCTATGGTTTTAAAGTTTGTGATAATAGAGGTCATCAGCCCAAAGCAGTATTCCTCAGTTGAATGGAGAAAAAAATACCAATCTCCTCCATTCAGCCAATAAATAACTGTATTTTTTGCAACAGATGAGTATCTATGTCAAGCAGTTGAAATACTGAATATGAAAATAGGATTCAAAAGTACTATCCTGTGAAACTGCAAAATAAAAAAATACATTGGAGAGATGAATAAGCCAGCCACAGGTACAATTATTCAAGCAATGACAGTATTTCAAAGTGTTGCTGATGAACCTGGCTAAGTACAGTGTAGAGTTGTCCCCAAGAATAGCATCCGTAGTAATTCAATCAAACCTTAAAATAGACACTGCTGTAAAGGGACATTGCAGGTATAATTAAGTTGACTAGCCAGCTAACTTATAATGAAGAGATTATCCTATATTATGTGGATGGGCGAACATAATCATGTACCTGTAAAAGCAGAAGAGAAAGTCTGTCGGTGAGACGGATACAAAGGGGAAGTCAGTGAGATTGGAAATTTGAGTGGGACTTGACCTGTCCTTCCTTGAGTGGATCACACAGAAAGCATGAAGGGCAATGCAGACAGCCTCTAGGAGCAAAAACTGGCTCCTGGAACACAGGCAGCAAGGAAATGATCAACATGGTCCTACAGTGGCAAACAAGCAAACTCAGCCAATGACTTGAAAGGTCTTGGAAGAAGAAGTCTCCAAGAGGTAATGCAACCCTTACAACACTTTGATTTCATCTTTGTGAACTCTAAGCAAAGAAAACAAACAGAGTCACTCTATGCCAAGACCTCTCATCTATAGAACTGTGAAATAATAGTTGAATGTTGTCTTATGCCATTAAATTTGAGGTAATTTTCTATGAAAGCAATAGAAAAGTAAGTCTCTAAAAGTCCTCGATAGTGCCCGAGGTTCACTTCCTAAACATCAATTGGGATAATAACAACCCAGTCACTACAGAAACACGTGCAATGTCTAATGTCCATGTAGAGAACCCCACTCCCATTTTTAAAATTTTGACACAGGGTCTTACCAAGTTTTTAAATTGCCCAGGCTGAGCTCAAACTTTCAATCCTCCTGTCTCCACCTCCCAGAATGCTGGGATTACCAGTATGCACCACAATACCTTGCTGGAGAGGAACTTTTAAGCAGTACTAAATTCAGATCCAAAAGGAACTTTAGTGATAATCTAGTCCAATCAAATAATAATAATAATGGATAAGGGATACTGAAAGAATTAGACAGTAAATGCTTTATAACTTTGTCGCCTCCTGCTACTTGTGATGAGGGTACTTTGACCTGCGAACAAGAATGTCCCAATACAGAAAGAGGCGCAATAATCTCTTATTTGTGGCCAGCCTGAAGATGCTATCCCCTAAAGTCATTCAGTTCCCTGTATTTCAACTCTAGAGCTGCCAAATGATCCTCTGACTCTTATCTTGTTTTCTAAGTATACTCTCTTTTTGGAAAATTAATACAATAATCAGCAATGCAATAAAAAAAAAAAAACCCCATATTGGCATTCTGGTGTATTGGCTCATCTTTTGAGTTTGGCTACTATAAAGCAGGCCTGGGAATTTGATTTTGATAAAGTGAGTTTTTGAAAATGAAAATGGACTTGAGAGGATCCCAAAGGAAGTATGAAAACCTGAAAGATCAGACCTTCATCAGTTTGTTGGCTTTTCATTTTGACTACAAGTCAAATCAAAAACAAAAAACAAACAAACAAAACCCAAACAGGCAACATGTTAACAGGAAGATAAATCAAAACCAAAGTTGAAATCTATGACAAATTAGAGTAGAGCAAATACAAGGACATGGAGCCTGTATTATGACCAGTCTATCTTTGTAGCATGTCCTTGTAAATATTGGCTCAGGAGAGGTATTTTTCAGTCCTTCTGAATTAAATGTTCAATTTCTGTAGGTTTATGTTTACTTGCCTAGGGGCCCATCATGATATAACTCAGAAAATTGTCATTCAATGACCTGAGCATATTTCATCTAAATTAGTTGGCTGTTGGAAGAGAATTGGAACCAACAGGCTAAGCCAAACCCTGAGCCCCCATTGATTTACAGATATCATCCACCTACCAAGAAGTAAAACAAACAAACAGACAAACTTTTTGTTACAATCTGAGTGAAGTCTGTTATTTCACAACTTGTAGAACAGAAATAAAACATTCATTTTTCTCTCATTGAAAAATGACTTAAACAAATTTTTTACATTTCAACCACTTGTGACCATATTACCAGTGACCCTTATTTTTCAAATGAGGAAGGAATGCTGCTATAATGAACTTTCAGGGGACAGTTTACCCATAGCCTCGTCGCCTAAATTCTGTAGAACCAAAAGGAGGTGCTTCAGATGCAGGGAAATAATATATCTGGATGGACATCACAAACAACTTTTGGAAGTGAAATTGGCATTTCCTATCTGCCTCCAGAGTCCGAGTATATCGAACAAGTGGATTCGTCTCTTTTATTTCCAATCTTGCTTAATGAGGTAAGGGTTCACTCAGTTACCTGATCTAGACACTATTTCATCTCCTCTTACATTTAACTGATCATTAAAGGAAAGGAAAGGAAGAAAAAAAGAAGTGCTTCCTTTCCAAGATCATCTCTGGACAACAGTGCCTCCTCCTCTAATCTTAGCCCACTACCTCCTCTCTTCTCCAGACTTTCAACAGCCTCCTCATGGTGTACCTTCCTTCACATTAAAGATTACTGCTTCAAGACAAATCCTTCAAAATCATATTCAAACATCATCACTTTTCTGAAGTCATCTCTTTCTTTCTCTCTCTCTCTCATCCTTGCTCTCTCTCTGAGACTCAACTTTTCACTGCTCTATGGCTACACTGATTTTTGCAGTCTCTAGTATCACATATGCTAAAACATGAAAATCCCAAGATCATGAACTGCTTGTGGAATAGATGAATTTCTGTGTTGCTGTCTGCACATTTCAGAGGGCAAAATCTACACCCACTTTATCTTCCATCACCCCCTCTGTAGTGTCCCTACCAAGGTGTTTGGCAGCATTTGATGAGTGAACAGATGTGTGCTATTTATTTACGTGTTCATTCGGGTAAGTTTTGTTGAAAGGTAAAATGGAGGCTAGAGGCTCTAAATGATCTTCCCTCAAGAATATTCAGATCCTCGTATACCTGTAGTTTCTGAATCTGTAGGAGAAGACAGTTAAAGGGGAACAGAGAATAGTTTGGGGGTTAGAGGATAGGCCTAATAATGTGAAGGTGCCAGGTATACATGCTAGAGAATTTCAGGAAGGTAAGGAAGGTCACAGTTATGTAGTAATTCTGCCTAGGATCTGCCTGAAAGGCCGCTCAAACATTCAGGCTACACTCCTTACTGCTTCATCTGGTGGCTGAATCTGCATCCAGTTCAGCCTTTTCCCTTGGTGCCTACCCTCCACTCCCACAGAATCCCAGTCCAATCTTTACTCTGCTTTTACTGGAGGGACTGGCCAAAACAAAGTCCAAAGGGGAAAAAATAGGAATTGACAAGAGGAACACTGGGACTTTCTGTTTCCTTTTATTATTAGCACAGGATAGAACGTGAATCACAATATTTTTCCTTTGAAAAATGTTTCCCATGTTCATTAGCTTAGATTTCTTAGCATAAAACTGATATGAGAACAAATGGATTTACTACTTTCCCTGTTAATCAGAATGCCTGCAAGTCTGAGGTTAGTGATGATCGGGCTCAGGGAGGGGAGGAAGAGGCAGGATTCCAGGGAGGAAGGGGCAGGATTTCAGGGAGGAAGGGGAGACAGAAGAGGAAGAATCACAATTACAGAATCCTGGAGAGGGCTGAGCCCTCAGCACCATTTTAGTCTAATGGTTCCACTCTCTACAGATGAGATGGAGGTAAATGCAGCCCAAGAGGTGAAGTGTTATATCACACTCCACAGTAGGTTATGGCCAAACATCCCTAGTCCAGTAGACTTCCTGATTATTCTAAGTTGTTTTCAAACTGTCCCTTTGACTATTTGCAAAAATCACTTCAAGGAGCAACAAGATGTACTTACTCCAGTCTCAGATGTGCCATCACACATACTATTGTTTATCATTAGTCATTTAGTACAAACAAATAGTAACAAATGGGCACAGGTGACTCAGATCTTCTGGTCTGCCCCAGCTGCTGGCCATTCACCCACCCTCCTTCATGTGGGCTGAGTTCCCCTTGCCACTTTCTTTGAAGTAAGATGAGCCCCCTAGATGAATCCAGGAAAAGAGTTTACTTACAAGCACCCCTCACACCCAGACCAAGCTGGGCCTAACTCTTAAAATAACCCCGTTAGAGCTTTGCAAAAATTGATTCTCCATATTGAAACAATGGGGATTTTTGTAATCAGCAGATCTCCACCCACTTTTCAAATTCTGTAGTACAAATGAGAAATTCTCAGAAATATACATCTATCTTTGTATGATCTGATCTGGCTTCTTTCTACCTTTCCCTTTTCATCTTCTACCATTTCTCCAAAACTCCCTTTTCCTCTGTCCATAGAGATAGCTTCTCAGAAGATTCTAGGCCTTTACAGGCCTTATTTCTGTGCCTTCTGTCCTCTTCCTTCTTTATCCATCTTTGGTACTCATTTCCCCAAGCTTCAGCCCAAGATCACTTCAATTTAGAAGCATCTTAGCAATCCCTACTCCCCACCAGGTAAAGTCTGGTGCCTCTCTTCCCTACTTCCATTGTAGCCTAGACAAACCTCAACTTCAGCAACATAAAGCATCAAGAATTTTCTTTTCTCTTTTGAGAGTCATGAGGCAGAAATTCCGAAAGGAGATACAACATAAACATGCAAATTTTTTCACAATACTTTTGTAAATGTAAACTGACTGTTGAAATGTAAAACATGGAACAGAATTAAAACTCTGAAGTGTTTTCTGAATGCAAGTTAGAATCCATGTTAACTTTATAAAAATGTACTAGCTATAGAAATGCACAGAAAATTAGCTCATTCTTCAAAGAATAGACTTTGGAAAACCAAATTACATTTTGATGGGATCAGAAAGGGAGGAAGGGGCTGGGGATTTAGCTCAGTGGTTTTGCTGCCTGCTTGTGCAAGCTCAAGGACCTGAGCTTGATCCCTGGTACCAAATAAATAAATAAATAAATAAATAAAATGATAAATCTGGGCTGGGGATTTAGCTCAATGGTTCCGCTGCCTGACTTGCAACAGCAAGGTCCCGAGTTCTATCCCCAGTATGAAAAAAAAAAAAAGGGAGGAAGGCAGTCAAAGGCTTTTCCTATTAAGAAAATTTTATGAACTTGAGCAGTAGGAAAACAAGTATTGCTTACAGAAGTAAAGGGAAAACAAAGATATTCAGCCAATAAAAGGGAAGAATGAAGTGGGAGGAGAAAAGAAAATGCCAAACCCAAGCTAGTTACAAAATTTATATCTAAAAATACAAAAGCAAGTGAATATATTTTGGGGCAGACCCAATGATCAGCATTTGTATTAAAGTTAACAATAAATAAGAGAAAGGAATACTAACCAGTAATCCTGCAGATATTCTTGAAATAGAGGCTGGATTTTCATATGATTTCCTCCTGGCTTTATATCAGAACTTTTCTACTTTCCCCTTTTTCATTCAGCTAGGTATGCAAGATTACAATGCACTCATCTATAAAATCTACCTGAGAGAGTAGAATTGAAGGTGGAATCACATGAATTGTCTTTATCGTTACTTCGTTGTCTTAATCTCTAATTTATAGGTCTTGATGCTTTGATACAACCTTCATAAAACCTCCTAAACCAATCATATTCTCTCCCTCTCTCTCTCTCTCTATCTCTCTCACATGCACACACACACACCACACTTGGTAGATTAAATCGCATCAGACCATTGCCTCACATTACAAATCTCCTTGATCTTTGCCCGGCGCTTCTTTGGGTACTGCCAGCTGAAGTGAAGGCCAGGCCTGGGCTGGAGTCTCATGAGGTCTACGATAACTGAGGAAGCCAGGTCCACTGAGGAGAGGGGTGAGCCTTAGAACTCAACAAAGACATCTGGAAAGATTGAAGACAGTGATTGGGTTATCTGAATCTAATCTTGTTGCAAGAACAAAACCAGAAGTGTCACACAAATGGATGTTCACTTCTGTCTCCCTAAAGAATCTCAAGGGTCCAGAGTACAGAAAGCTGAATATTTTTTAAATGAAGGATAAATGGGCAAATGAATTGCACAAAGTCAGTATCGGTTGGAAATCCTGGCACACTTAATTTTACTGCAAACATTTAACCATTTTTTATATAAGTGGTGTTAAAGTAGTAGACCAGAAAACCTTTAGTATCTTCTACATCGTAATTGTTCTGAGCCCTTGTACCTACTCCCTGGAGTCCTACTCAAACATGGTTATTTTGGTCACTTGGGCAGGAACTCATAGCACTTACATAATGAAGTTTGGTTTCTTTTAAATTACTTTGTAATAGTTCAGAAAAAAAGATCACAAGTCAAACTGAAGGTGCAAAAATATTAAGTACTTGATGAATTTCATACATCAGCAGCACGAAAACCAAAAGGACTGTTTTCTTGGCCTGGAAGCTTTGCCATTTTTTTTTGTACCTACTCACATGATTAGAACAATTATGCTGTTTTCCCTCGAGTATGGACTAGGTTGCTGTACCTGCAGGAATATGTGACTAACGTTTCTATGTGTGATCAACAGTCAGCACAAAAAGATTTGTGACAACACACATGATTTGTGACTGCTGCTAGAATGAGCATGTCATTTTGCTGGTTACAAGACTCCATCTGCCTGGCTAGCTTTCTTATGTTTGTATGCACTGGATCATTTTGTGACATCAATGCATACAAATCATTTTAAGATAAGAAACCTCAAAGGGGAAAATTCATTTGAATGGTTTAGTTAATAAAAACAAATTGGAGAATTTCACTGATGCTGAGTTGTGGTTAATTTGATTTGAAATAGTATTTTGAGTGTACAGAAACTGCCTGCCTCCAAGATACCTCCCTACAGCACATTTCCAGGAGTTCATAAATACTTGGTTTCTAGAATTTGCAGTACAAGTAAAAATCATAGGAGTTATCTGAAGATTTCCTCTATCTCTCTGCCTGTTCTATCTTATTTCCATATTATATTTCTGGTATCTTTTTATTCTACTCTTTTTCCTTTATCCCCTCTACTGATACTGCCCAAGTCTGAGTCACCATTTTCGCTTCAATTTGAGAAATTGCCCCCTACCACC